ACATTTTGATTACAGATTCATTTTGGGCTGATGTACCGGCTGAAAATAGGCGAAGGTTTTTGTTAAGTTTTAAAAACCGTCTTTTGGTAATTCACTCTTTGATATAAAGGCAACTGATGGCCCAACTGGCATTTGTAACTCGATATCAGTATTATAGTACCGAAGGAAATTGTACTAAATCATTGAGATTTTAGAGGTTACTTTTGAAAGCACAAGCTTTTGTATTTTGCTACTTATTTGCTACTGTTTTTTTTTTTTTGTTGGGAGGATACTTTGAAATACCAGTGCTACTAATTTCTCAGTTTCTTTTAAACCCGTTCAGAACTGAGACCTGGTTACTTGCCCATATACTAGTACTAGATATTCTAGTAAATTCCACTCGGAGAACAACAGCAAATGATTAATACAAAGTTACTCATATGAACAGTTTTATTTATTAACATGTGAGGCTGTGTAATTCTATCAGTGATTGGTCACTAGAGCATTGTACTGGTAAACCAATGGGTTTAATAGTGATTTACTAGGTATAGTGTCGTATAACCCATTCGTGCTGGGGAACTCTTGGGCGAGGGTGTCGATTTATTCATATGTTGCATCTTCTCCCGTCTTCTCTCGGCCGGTGATCGCTAGTCGGTTTGGGTTCAGAGATGAAAGACATCAGCAAAGGGAATTTTAACTTAGTTATTTTATTAACGTCGACGTATACATTTTGTAACTTGCCAGTGGGGTTGCTCTCTCTCTCTCTCTCTCTCTCTCTCTCTCTCTCTCTCTCTCTCTCTCTCCAATGTGGACCAGTTTCCAGACAAAAGGGAAACACGTCTACATTGCTTGACGGTTAATAATCAATTCTCCGAAAACCCTTTCTCTATCTATCGTTCTCACATTGGCTCAGCCAATCAAAATCGACTTACTTGTTTTGTCTTCCATCTGATTTCAAAAGTCAACCCCAGGAAGTCGAAGCTGCGATACACTTCCTGTAAAAAAATAAGTCTGCTAAATTTGTTGTTTAACAATAACTTAGATGTGGCACAAAGCTGATAGTATGAGGCATCTAGTGAGGTTCAAAGTGCCCTACCAATGGTTAACTAGTTTAAAATAGATGGCGTTAACCTGAATTATTAAAGAGAAGAAATTCGTTTAAAAATTTGATTCGTTCGTTTTCTACACCTTATCAACTGTTTCCAGGTTATTTGAATAGAAAATATTTTTAAATGTAAGAATTTTTTTAAAGATAATTTTTATTGACACAAGTCTTACTTATTAACTCATAGCTTGGGTAAGAAGTGGATATTTAAGAATTTAGTAGCAAGACAAGCCCAATTCGCTTACTCGGTAGGTCCATCTGGCAACTCTGATAGAGATTTTTTCCCTTTAGTACATAGACTATTATGGCTTACCGCAACACTTTATCATTTATAGCTATTAAAAATGTTTGTCTTTTTACCTTCATTCCCTCTGCCCGTTATGCTATCCATACACAAAAGCTGCCTGTCTTTGTCCATTTTGTCTCCGATATTTCATGTGAGTATTAAAATTTCCAAGCCATCCTTCCTCATGTATCTCAGAAATTTCAGTTGTCCCTTTTTAATTCTAAGTGCCGTTTTAGTTTCCAATTTCTTTAGAACTTCCATATTACACGCCCTGTCCGTGGTATTCTCAGCACCCTTCTGAGAACGACTTTTCTATTGCCTTTAGTCTTCTCTTCATCTGTGAGGAAATTGTCCAGCATCCTATATAGAAAGATTGATATTGCATAGGTTCAGCTCTCTTTTCCTTTTTCAAGTACAAAGCAGAAAACCATGGAAAGCAATTCGAATTCATGAGAACTTTAATGAAAAATATATTCAAAGTTTCTTGCGTAACCAAAATTTATCGGGGGGATAATATCTATTGCCAATACTTATTGATTTTAGTTTTAATAAGATTATCTCAGCCTGACATAAAGCCAAGTATTGGAAAATAGGAATTAGAAAGATTGCATCATATTAACACGTTGTCTGCCAGAGGTCAATTACGAAATCTGACTTTAGAAGCCAAGGGTTCTGAGTATGACGATAAACTATATCCGGCATCAAGTCCCGGGAAGTTTTGAGGAGCGTGGGACTGCCTCTTAATTGCTTTTGTTTCTAGGTTCACCCTGACCTGTGGTGGTAGCATCTGTTAGGATCCCAGTTATGGTCAAATAGTTAACCCCCAAACTGGGGTCAAAACACTATGAAAGTATAAAAATAGATTTTTATAGTAAAAATCCCAGCAATACATTTTTGAAAAAAATTACCAGAAATATATTAAAAAAAAACAACAACTTTACCAGTAATATATTTGACTCTCGACAAAAAAACCACTTTACAAAAATATGAAACCTGATCTACAAACTGATTTATTACAAAGAATACATATTCTATTGATACGAACCTATCCTAAAAATCTTGTCAGCATTAAATAAATAATTGAGGTTGATATATCGTAAAGCAAAATAAACCAACAAACAATCAAACTTTATAATAGCCAACTTCCAAATGCAGGGCCTTTTCATTCCTACCTGATTGCTCTCCACAACTTCCTATCTTTATGGGCCATGTGAGGGCCATGTGATGGCGAGGCATCGGATCATGTTGTTGCACCATCTTACCTTTAATCACCTTCTAGTTCATTTCCACTGTCTTGGTGTCTGGTCTGTCTCCAATCTGTTGTCTCTGAGATGGCCACGTGGCCAGCAACCCATCTATGTTTGCCCTTCTTGATGGTCTTGATTATGTATTTCAATCGAGTCCTGCTGTTGAATCCAGGTCACGTAACGTGATGCCGAGCATGATTTACTCCATTTTACGTATAATAAATTAGGCAATAAATTTTTTTTCAGATATTTCGTTTATGTGTTATATTTTCAATAAATGTTTCCCATAAAAAGTTTGTTTTTAGTTTCCAGTACGATTTTTTTTTACTCCTGTTTTAAATGTCAGGAACCAATTATTTACCTTTAAAACAACAACAAAAAAAACTTGTGGTTGGAGACTTGATCGCAAGACCACCAAAACGAGATAACTCGTGGTCAGCATTGTAATAACATCTGACAACCACAAGTTAACCCCCCACCCGGCTGACAGTCGGTGTGTTAAACAACTGATGGTCTACTGTATCTTGAAATGCAGCATTCAGAATTTTGCTCTTTGAGCTTGACTTGAAATCCAGCCTCTAAAACTGGTAGGAAATATGAAACTATCTCATCCACAAGGTAAATTCTTTTGTTTTTTACTCAGTTGAGTCTATCACAAGGCCAAACATTTGGAACTGAGGGTTAGATTATGCTACTTAATCTTAGGTATTGCCTGCCTTCATAGCTTTCCACAACTTCCTGTCCTTTTTAGCCCTTAACGACTTTTGTCCTTTTGCTAATCCTTCCTCTGCCAACCATTTACACAAGTTCGTTAGGTAGATTAGGCACTGCTTTCCTTTAACCTTTAATATGTCCTGTGAGTGTCAAATTTTCAAAACCCTCTTTCCCCAGTATGTGCCCTAGAAATTCAAGCTGCCTCTTTCTGATGCTAATTATGTCTTTTTTGTTTCCATTTTATCTAAAACTTCGTCGTTGCTCCCATGTTCAGTCCACGGTATTCTCAGAATTCTTCTGCAGAACTACATTTCTGTTGCCTCTTGTTCATCTTTAATAGAATTTGTCCAGCATTCACTGCCATATAGGAGGATAGATATCAAGTAACAGTTTAGTACTCTTTTCTTTGTTTCTAATGAAATTTTCATGTTTCTTAATACTTTGCTTAGTTTTTGGCTAAATTCAAATTTGCATTGGTTTTATTTTGGTATTTCCAATTTGTCATTCACATTTTGGGATGTTTCTTTTGCAGACTACCGTACATAATTTTTTCTTTTAATTAGTGTTTTAATCCTTTCTTCACGCTTTCCTTTACTACCTTCTGCAGCAGTTCCTGTTCTTTCTTATATTGTTAAGATTGTGGCCGCCTGTAATGAATCCTTTTAGGACTTCTAATTCTCTCAGGATTTCTTCAATGTAAAGGTTGAATAAGTCCGGCGAGAAGACGCATTCTTGTCTTACGCCCCTTTCTATTTTTGTGTATTTGCTAAATTCATTTTCTGTCTGCACGTAGGCGCTTTACTCACAATCAAAATAATTTCAGAAAGGTCACACGAGCAAGTGGTGGTGGATTGTGATGGTTAATATGCGTGTTTTTTTTTATGTCAGTGGGAATTTTTTTTCAGGCACGTGGTATGCTTAAACATTTCTCCGAGCCTAAATATAACATTTTGATTAGTGATTACGAAATATATTGATTTACCAAAGGAAAAGCAAAATCCTCTCACAAATGGCAATTAACATAACTTAAAAAGTTACGGCATAAATTAAACTTGATATGGATAAACAAAAACGCGAACACACCGATGAATATTGAATTGATCTATTAGGTTGAGCCATAAAAAAATTTAGGTTTTGTTTATAAACTTTATTCTTCAAAAAAGAGTTCAATGTCATTTCATTAAATTTTATATTCGCCATTATTTACAACGACTTGTTGCCACTTATCATGTAGCGCTTCCCACACCTTTTATGTAAAACTACAAAGATTTTGATGTAAAAAAAAAGTTTCGACAAAATCTTGAATCTGGTTCTTATTAGAGAAGGTTTCCCTCATCGAAGAGTTTTGAAGCGATAGAAAAAGATAATAATCGTTTGGTACAAATTGATTGACTGATTGTTTCGTTTTTACGGCTTATCAACCTTTTGCAGTTTATTTAAAGCCAGAAAATATTTTTAGATCGTGAGAATTTTTTTAGATAATAATAATTTAGTGATGCCAGACAAACAAATTACCCCATAGATGGAGAGAGAAGAGGTGAATTCATACCTTTCACGAGGTTATTTGCGCTTAGGCGAATATAACGAACCCAACTGGAATTGGAATTTGGCTCTCCGAATAACAATTCTGAGCCATTATCCATTACGCCACTCGCACATGCAAGCTTAAAGCACCTGGTATTCCCACGCAGTCATCCATCTAGGTACTGACCTGACATGATATTGCTTAACTTCAGTGATCGTATAGAAACCGGTGTTTTAACGTGATATGGTCGTTTGCCGGTTGATGCAGTGGGATCAAGTGACTATGGCGGTTGAAAAGACCAACCGAGTTCTAAAATGTTTTCCTGTGTTCTCTACGGTCAGCAAAAAAGGTCGTAGGCATGAAAAATGGAATCGGCTAACCGAGTTCAAAATCCGTTCAAGTCTTCATTTAATCACTAATACTCTTGGGAAAGGCATGAATCCATTTGTTCTTTCTCTAGCTCTATAGGCGTGAAACAGTAGGGAAGACTGGACTTTCTAGTCTTTTGGTGGTAGCCATTCTAGCTGTAGAAAAGGTTACGGTAAACAACTTTCCTAAGAAGACAAAAATAATAAAAAAAAAAGGAACGTTTTGAATGCCATTGAAAATCCTCCTTAAATTTGAATGTTATGAACAAGTGTGGTCTCCCCTTGCTTTGTTACTATCCTCTTTGAGAGAGCTATTTCTGGGACTGTAAAAGAACACCATAGGCGAACCTTGTATTCTCAGTTAAATAAGGCTTTCTTAAAGCCTACATCTGCGTACTTTTGCCATTACAATGTATAAATTCACTTTCATGATATATTTAAGTTTTATTCCAATTCTAATCATTGCTTTTTAAAACAATAAACATTGCAGAAGAATAAAGGGCGTTAAAAAAGCGGTGTCATGGGAAAAACCGTCCTCTTGACATTCCGTCTTATTGCGGTCAGGTTTGTCCATGTTTGCCGTATCGTCTTCATTCTCTTCGTATTCCATTGATAAGAAGGAAGTTTCACTCAAATAGCTTCTTGTATAGAACGGTTACTAGGTAGAACAGTTTCCCGGAGGATAGTTCCCCAAATTTTAAACTCTTCAAGTTTAGGGTCCATCGTTAATTATCCTACATATCCTTCTAGCCTGCACTGCCATTACTTACGTCCATATAACTATCTAATTCAGTAACTCTCTCTACCTTTAGTAGCTCTTGGGTTTTATATTGGAAGAATATTTAGTAAAAACAAACATAAAGACAAGTTGTAGTTTATGGCACACCATATTATAATGATTGGAACTTTTGCTTCCAGGTTTATCTTGCCTAATCCAAAATATGCTCCTATCACAGAGCGTTATTCGATTTCCGAGGTGACCCTCTCACGATGTGGCGTAGTGGAATTTTTGCTGCAAGAAGAGGATTACGAACGGTCTGCGTTGATACTACTCGGTTCACTCCAGCTGGTGTTAGAATGCGTCGATCATAGTAACTCATTACTACATGGTGCTCCAAGAGCTGATCTACTAGTGTAGGAACTAGGGCGCTTCAAGGTGGTGTAATGGTTAGCAAGCTTGTCTCGCTAAAACAATTACGACTGAGTAGTGAGTTCGATCCTCACAGGGTGTCCCATACTTTCGGCCTTGTTCACATCTAAGCTACGCTTGGAAAATCACTACTAGTGTAGGAATTATTCATTTGATTACTGTTGCCAAAGGTGAACCACTACTGGCGGGTCATACTCACATGGACATTTGATAGAGCAAAGCTGTTCAATTCTGCCTTCATCGGGTTCAAAATCGTTTTAAAAAGTCTTGTAATGGTGACTTATTTTCCCGCCCTACAGACGCAACGTTGCAAGCCTCTCACTTTTCTATCGCTATTTCCACGGCAAAGAATTCTGGCCCGCTGCTCCTGCTGTATATTTAGAAATTCTTGATAAATCCAAAGAATCTGCGATATTATTGGTTCTGACCTGGTGTCTCGGTTTCAGTTACTTCCCCACCGCCATAATGTAGCTTCCCTGTGCCTTTTTCTAGAAATACTTTCATAGTAACTCTTCTGATGAACTCTATGGATTTAAACTCAGTACTAGATTGATGGCAAGTTCTCATCAATTTACAGTTAAATTGAATTGATGTAATTGTAAGTTCTATGCTAACAGTTTCTTTTTTCCACACTTCTCGTTTGTGGAACTCTCTTCAGGTTTCTTGCTTTCCAACCAACTTTGATCTTCAAAATGCAATGTCAATCGTTGTCTACTGTCTTTTATTATTTTCGCTCCTTAATGTTTTTTCTATTTTTCTTGTTCTTCCCCACCCAGTAACACGTTGTGTCTTAGTGGCTTTACTGTCTTGCATGGGGTTATATGATTAAAAAAAACTCTTTAGTTGCATCAGTTCAGACCTTTAGAGCTAGGATTCACATTGCTATGCCTACTGAATCAAATCACCTACATTTCACCTGTATTTCAATTGTAAGGAGCAACTTCTACTTAAACAGTGTTTTTTTTAACCTTTATGCGATAGACTCCCATGTAGATGCTTCCCTGAAGACTACAATCTTAATCTCTTCAAGGGTCAATTGCTATCTATCTTATTTATCTTCAAAATCTCCTCTTCATTTTCCCTTCTCTTACATTCATATCTGACACCTCATTCAATAATCCTCAACCATGAGTAACTCCTTATCCTTGTATTGGGCGAATTCAGTAAAAAACAAAAAACAAAAAAAAATTATCATCCAACTTTTAGTCAGCCTACTAGCTTTCTTAAAAAAAAAAAAACATTTTAAAAATGCTGCTTATTTTCAGTGTTAGAATCGGTAAACATTTTCAGAATTCGTACACTTTATACTAATTCTGAAAATAGACGTTAATATATCAACAGTTACAAAACAAACAAAGCGATCTTCTTGAATTAATTAATCACTCCTAATGCTAGGTATATACTCTGTCACCCCACTAAGACGAGTTGTGACACAAGGTCTTTTTTAAGGTGGGGATCCGAGCGCGTACACCCGGGCAAGGAACGTCGGTTGCGCTGGCCTCGATGTGAGCACCGATCCTTCTCTCTGGTGCAATGAGAGCAGCTGTTCCCCAGAGCTGGATACCTCTTAGTATAATTTTCCTCAGTTGCGACTCTGTCCTTTGACGAAGTCGCCCCTGAGTGTACTCTGGCCAAAGACAGAGACGTAACTGAGAGATGATAAATAATGTGTTACAAACCATCCCAAAGAGCGATTTACACACTCTTAATGCTATCTAACGATAAAAAAAAACAGAATTAAACTTTTTGTCAACCATGTTACAGAGAAAAAAAATGGATGCTTATCTTTTTAAAAGTTTTATTTATTTGTCGTTGTGCTTACGGTAATATTACGTTTAAACACCGATTTTTGTCCGTTCATCGAAGTTAAGCGACGTCGAGCCTGATCATTACCTAGATGGGTGTCCGCTTGGGAATACCAGGTGTTATAAGTTTGGATGTGCGGGTAGTAAAATAGATAAAGGCACGGAATTGGAAATCAGAGAACCGAGTTCCAATTCCAGTCGGGTTCGTTATATTCATTACGCGCATACCTTTGTGAAAACTATGAATCCACCTCTTCTTCTCCCAGCTATGGATTAATTAGCATGTCTTGTATCACTAAACCATTATTATCTTCAAAACTTTCTTACAATCTAAAAAAAAAATTCTGGCTTTATATAACCTGCAAAAGGTTGATAAGCCGTAAATATCAAATAAATCACTCAAAATATGAATAAAATATTTTGTTGAAAAATTATAAAACTTTGGGATCAATTTAATACATACACTCCTCACTTTACGACCTACCTGAATAAATTAACGACCCGGACTTACGACCAGCTATAAAATCTCATGAGATAATAAAAAAAAATCCAAACAGTCGGTAATGAACGCTGTACGAAAATTTTGTTATTTTTTTTTTCAAAAATGAAGCAAAATGAAAGAATAAAGTGTAAAAGAATTTAAAATGTACTTGTACTATATTTCCAATATGCAAACAGAATTTCAAAGTGAATTTCGTATTTGTTTATTACGTTTCATCATTAGTACACTACCGTACGATATAAACATTTTGAAATGAATTAGAAATCTTACAAATGGTGAAAAAGTGTCATTAAATCTGTCTGAAGCCGGTTGACAGAAACCCATTACATGCGTAGGATGCCTAAAAAAGCGTCCAGGTATAACTTCTAATTTAGCGACCAGTTCCCTTAGAAACCACCTCATTGGGATGGAATACAACTACTCCTTATTTAAAGAACCTAGTCTTTAAATAAGGAGTGGTTGTATTATAAAATATACTATTTATCTGAAATTTGGCATGTATATTAAAGAGAAAGAAAGAGAGAGAGAGAGAGAGAGAGAGAGAGAGAGAGAGAGAGAGAGAGAGAGAAATGATTGATCAATTGATTTTGTTTTACGGCTTATCACCCCGTTGTGGGTTATTTAAAGCTAAAATATTTTTTAATTATATAAAAATAATTCTTGTTTGGTAATGAATATTGCATTAACAATATTGGGGATAAATATAAATTATATAACATACTATTTAACTCATAGATGGGGGAAAAAGAGACAGACCCATACTTTTCCCAAGTGCTAACGTAAATGTAACGAACTTGATTGGAATTCGAACTCAGTTCGCTGGTTTTTAATTTCGAGCCGCTATCGAGTCATACTCTGAAATAGTCTCGACAGATCGAGATTTTCATATGGATGTCATGGATGGAGCCAAACCCGTTCAGAAATATCTAAACTATCAGCTGTATACAATCGCTTTCTAAGATCAATGGTCAAAAATGGCCTTGAGCGAATGAAGACCATCTAGCAAATAACAGAAACCGCATCACTTGAGAACTTCAGCAACAAGTAAAATGGATATCACAAGTCATACGAAGAGAAAATAATGACATAATCAAGATGTTGCTATTCCATATTATTTCCAACCAAAGATTAGGAAGGAAACTCCCATTAATATTGGAAAGAGCGATAACAGCTACTGGACTTGAGAAAACTATTTTATTGAAAAAATAATTTTAAGAGAAAGATTTTATAAATTTCTAACGACAGTAATACTAACTACTTGGTCGGTGAATACCGAATGTTTCCTTATAAGTAAACAGTTAATGTTATCATTATCTATTTATACCACCCGCATATCCGAAAAACAGAGAAAGCACTTTGATGACTAAATAATGATGCTATACACGAATAAATGATTTTGCCCAAAAATGCTCGATATTTTCGCATCGATTTTGTTTATTTTGATCTTTAAAAAAATAATATCGTATTTCCCCAAGTGTCCATGATTTACTGGTCCGTTTCATTAAATGATAATATCAAAGGAAAGCGAAAAGGAATGACCAAACCTTTTGAACATCTATGTGTATTCGCGATTGTGAACGCATTTGGGCAAATGACGCATTCAATATTTGATTATTTTGCTACAATACGCGCTTAAAGGTTTTAGCCAGTTTTGATCAACATTTCTTTTCATGGTTAGCCATAAGGAATTGTAACTACCTTACACTTCAGTAAAATAATAACAATAATAATATTTATTAAAAATTTATTAAACGAATTTTCAAGTTTTACGGAAACATTGTTGACAATCATGTATTTAGATACAAACAAATATAAATTATAATATATAAATTTTGACGCTATATTCGATTTGTTGTTAGTTATTTAGATGGTGGAGTCCATTATTTCATCAGGTCCATCAAAACTAGTACCGTTTTGTTCATTGCTTTGGTTTATTTCTAGTTTTCAATCAAATTTCTATAAGAACTTGCTGCTTTTATCGGCATCAATTCAATTAAATCTCTTAGATCTTTCAGTTTCTCCTCTTTTTATTGGCAACATTTTAGAATATTTTGGCTGCAATGCTAAGTTTCCTAAGTTGAACAAAACTAGAGCTATAAGATTTTTCCTTTTTTGTAATCTGACAGGATGACTACTCTTAGTTTGTACCATATGTAGTAGAAATTACATAGCCTTCTTTGTACTGATGATCAAATATTAATTTTCTAGAGTCGACGAATTCAGCAGATATCGGTTTCCTTTTAACAATGCTTCGTTTCAAAACTTCAAAATCTAAAATATCAGAAATGCTGTGAAATTGATGTTGTTACTGCTGTTACAAAATCTTTTTTTTTGTATAGATAATATTATTATAATGTTTCTTTATAGTTTTTACAAATTGAACGCATCACTCCTTGAGACATTACATTGTATGTAACAGTTGCATTTTTTCTACTCAATTCCCGCTTTTTGTAGGTTTGCTTGACCGAATGTCTGGTAACAAATCTCTGTATGTAGCCATTTTGCTCGTCGAAGCTGCACATATTCCAAAAAGATTCAAATATTGCTGAAGCTTTTTCGAATACATCGATTTTGTCAAAGCAATCTTTCTAGCGCTTACATGCTGGTTTTATTATTCGTTTCTTGACAAATTTGTTTTGTGTAACTCCTAACATATTCTTCTTCACTATTTCTTTTAACTCTATTTTCGTTACCTCTCTTTTCTCTTGTTGTACATTTTTAGATCGCTTTCTGCCAGTCATTTTGATGCAGAATAGCGAAATTCTGAAATTTAGAATGATCTCATTCCATTTAAAAAATAAAGCCTGTAAAAAGGAATATTTTAAATTAACGTACGACTAAAAATGAAATGCCTTTGACAAAAAACCTTAATGATTTCACTATAATTATGTAACAATAATGTAATGATATTCCGCAGACAAATCTACGGTTTATGTTACCTCATCTCATTGCATGGTTACGAACCTAAACTGAGCTTGAAATATCGTGTTATAGGATCTCATTTTTTTGTAAAATACTTGGATATAATATAATGAATAATTTGCAGTGAAAAAAAAGCAATTTTCGATTTTTTGTTGAATACGCCCCTCCGCCGAACGCGTCAAATGTTGTTTGCATTGCGTCTTGCATATCTGCCGCTAACCTTTAGGTGGATTAGACATGTGTGTCGAGGTGATTTATTAACCATAGTAACGTAAAAGAAGGTTTTAATCTGTTCTAAGCGTATTGGGAAAGTCTATATCATTCAGAAATAATCTCTTAAAGCCATAAAATCAAGTGGAACACGTCAATGCGATGACTTAGTAGATGAAGTAAGCTGGTTCCAGCCAACGATTAGAAGCAATACGAAACCTCACCAGTTAAGGAACGCGAAAAACGTAAAACCTGACTTTCTCTGTGTGCACACACGCGCACATATCCATATACACACACATAAAAAAATAACATAACCGCCTTTTAAAGAGGGAGTAGGTATTTCATTCTTATTGAAAGATCGTTCGATATCTATCATATCGAAGTGTACAATTGTTTTTAATTTTACAGTTGTTGAACGAAAAAGAAGCTAATTTGAGCTGAGGTTTTTGTGTGTTAGGCAAACCGGAATTTTTAAAATTCGATAAAAGGTAAGTTTTCTAAAAAAAATATGACAGTTATATTTCTTTTTTTGATTTTCTAGTTTCTTTTTTCGTTTAAATTGACATTTTGAATTTTGTTTGAAAACTTGTTTTATATTAATGTATTTCACAAAGAAAAGCATTCAACTTTGGTGCATTACACATATTTACCTTTAAAAAGCTTACCTTGAATTTTGCTAAAAAAATGAACTTCTGTTTTATTCAAACATCTAATGGTCCATTGTTTTGAAAATTACCATCATACAGTAGAATTTATTTGTCCATCAGTGGTAATATATTGTGGCTAACATCAGGTTTGTCATTTTGGTTTTCCATACATCAGCAGTCCTATATAATAAAATGTTCGTAAATTTGGACGAACTTTCAGCATATATACACAAAGAAAGCTCAAAGAAATTTAACGTAACATGTTTCGTCCGTAAGAAATTATAGGAAATTCTCTCTCTCTCTCTCTCTCTCTCTCTCTCTCTCACACTCTCTTTCTCTCTCACACACAAACACACACACATTTATATATGAATAAATACAAAAGCAAAGCCTTCCTTTACCGACACGATTTGTCCTCTGATGGGCTGTCGAGGCAAAGTAGTATAAAGTCCATCAGAGTACGAAATGCTTCGGCATAGAAAAGTTTTCCTTTGTCTATATTTTATATTTTCTTTTTTTATTCGTCTCTGAATTCTTGCATTTATTTACACGTCTTTCGTTCTGCGTAGTCGAGAAAAATAAAATACTTTAAGTTTTCTCGGGTGGGCAGAAAGATACACAATGTTTAAAATGTGTTTGATGCCTATTCAAACACGAGTATCTACTAAAAATAAACGTATACGTTCCGTAAAAATGATTGGCAAAGAAATTTTTTAAAGTGTTTATTGTATCTTTTTTTGGTGGGGACTCAGCGAATAGTGAAAATCTCCAAATGCTTGTTCTTTTGGAGAACTTTCTATGATCCATTTTCAAGGATTTTGGTTGTACTCTTGTAAATGT